ACAACATTTCAAAACTAAACATTTAAATGAAAACAAAAAAATAAAGCCAAAAACGATTCAAAAATATTAAAAGAACAAAAGGTATGAGTATAATGATTCTAACATAACACTAAGCCAAACACCAAAAAAACAACTACATATGTGTATGTACAGCCACACACATATACATGTACATATATGTAAATACATTCAATATATATATATATATATTATTTCATTTCCATTTTGTATGTTGAAGTACTGAAATAACTCAAATTAAATAATAAATAAAACTTAATAAAAAACCTATATAGACATAATAAAAAAACTAATAAAATGACAACATTACTACAACTGTAACTAAAACTAAAATAGATAACTAATACAAATCAAACTACATTAGTTTATCAGTAATCCTAAAAAAAATAACACTGAGCCAAACGCACATGCTAAAATAACAACAACTTACTGACACGTAGTAAAAAATGGTTATAAAAAAACTGAAACAGAAGTGAAACAAGTAGTAGGAAATAGGAGAAATGAAAAAGCGATATTATATATATTATTATATTATCAATATCACGATAGCAAAACTGTCTCGATATGATCGTGGTCGCATGACAATATGAAACGATAGGTCTTCTGGGCAAAAAGTGCAGTATTTAAAATATATTTGTTTTGGGCCATTATGCTTTGACACATTATCTGTCAAACGAATTAAAACCGAAAGCACAATATGGCTTAATCCCTTCATCAAGTCTGTTTTTGCTGCGTGATTTAAAGTGAAGCGCAAACATTGATCCGGTGTTTTCCGCGCCTCAGAACGGCTCCGTTCACAGTGAATGAATGCAGTGAACTCGTTTATTGTACGTGCTGCGAGTTTAGCGCGCGTTTGGGAACACAACTGCCACCATTTAGGCTTTATTTTCGCAGCAGGTGATTACAGTATTTCACTAGATGTGTACTGATACGCGTTTTTGTAAGCCTGTTTTCACTGAAGCTGGAGTTATTATTATTATTATATTCTAATTTTTTTGGCTTCCTAAAACACCAGTGTGAATGTAATTTAGACTGAGACAGTATATCACAAACAAAAAGAGGGTTGAGTCCCCTTTAAAATTCAGGTAAAAGTCAATTCACTGTCTTTTTTCTGACTTATGTTTTCTTAGTTAATAACATGGGTTGAACTTAATTTTGAACTCTCAAAGTGCATTAGATAGAATTATTTAACTTTAAAAAGTACAAAATTTTTATTTCATTTCCCAATTCATTCTTCTTTTTCTTTTTTAAATATCGCAATAAAAATCGTATCGTGGACTTCATATCGCAATATCGTATTGTGAGATTTTGATATTGTTACATCCCTAGTTAACACTATTTTCTGTCCTCATGCAGGATTCTGAAGAGTATGGTTGTCGGTTGGGTCCGAGAGATCACGCAGTATCATAATGTCTACGCTGATAACCAGGTGATGCATTTTTACCGGTGGTTGCGATCACCCAGTTCTCTGCTGTACGACCCGGCCCTTGCCCGCACATTATGATGTCTTTATTATTTTGTTGTTTTTTTTCCAAACCACATTACTTTTGTTTTTGTGCTATTGAAAACTAGATTCAGGTCAATAAAAGCCTCTTGAATATTATTAAAACTATCCTGTACCTGGTTTAAAACTTCATCATATGACGATCCCACAGCATAAAGAATCGCATCATCTGCATATAGGTGAATATAGGTTTTCTGACTACTGATAACCTGAGAAATATTATTAATATAGATTGAAAACAGGGTTGATGCTAACACAGAGCCCTGAGGGACCCCTTTATTAATAGCTAATGGTTCTGATAATTGTTGGTCAATCTTTACATATTGGGATCTTTTAAATAAATAGTTAGAAAACCAAGATAGGCTTAAATTAGACACACCAATACTACGTAATCTGGATAACAATATAGAATGATCAGTTGTATCGAAAGCTTTAGCAAGGTCAATAAAAATAGCTGCACAAAATTGTTGTGTTTCTAATGCATTATAGATATCATTCATAACTATTACAACTGCTGTAGTACAACTAAATGAAGAACGAAAACCAGATTGAACTTTAGATAAGATGTTATTTGTATTAAGAAACACTATCAATTGCTTCTTAATTAGTTTTTCCGTCACCTTTGCAACACAAGGCAAAACTGAGATTGGACGATATGAATTTGGATCCGTTTTATCACCACTCTTATAGACAGGAGATACAATGGCTACTTTCCAAATTTTAGGTATTTCAGCTGTAGTTATAGATAAATTGAAAATATATGTTAAGGGTTCAGATATAATTGATGCACCTACTTTAAAAAAGAAAGGATCTAAAGCATCTAAACCAGCAGGCTTTTTTGAGTTAAGTTTAGGTAATTCATGCCAGACCTGTAACTTATTAACTGGTTTTAGAGAAAAACTCAAAGGTAAAATAGTTTGAATGTTTCTTATATGTCTCGTTTTATTAATATACTGTCTAGGAACATGATTCTCAAATAAATTACTTGCGCTAATAAAATGTTTATTTAAAAGATCTGCTACTTTTGCTTTGTCTGTAACAACAATATCTTCGTTATTAAGTGAAACAGGTCCCTGTGGTAACAAATGTTTGTTTTCTAGTTCTTTTACCATACTCAAATAAGTTCTTGAATTTGAGGAACAATTGGAGAATTGCCTTTTATAATACTCAGATTTTGCTTTTCTAATAGCTTTAAAATAGCTTTACATGTTTGCATACTTTTTTTTTAAGTTGAGTGTTGATTATTATATTTAAAAATAAATAGCAATTAAATTTAAGTTTGGGCTCTGTTGTTAATTGTAACCTTATAGTAATGTAAAAGGGCTCCTTGTTTAGAGCAAACCTAAGGTAGATTTTTATCCATAAGAAAATTGTAATATTAATTGAATTTATTTAAAGAAAGAGCAATTTGTTCAGTAAACCATTGTTTAATAATAATAAAAAAGCAATTTGATGTATAGTTTTTTTTCCCCCCTGCTGTACCGAAACCATACCGAACCGTGACGTAAAAACCGAGGTACATACCGAACCGTCATGTTTGTGTACCGTTACAGCCCTATGGACTCATATTTTGGCCAGAAGCAACAGTTTAATGTTAAAATGTCTTAATAGATTTGTTTTCTTATAAACACGCAGCTTTTTGCTTCACAAGACATTAACTGATGGACTGGAGTGGTGTGGATTACTTGTGGATTATTGTGATGTTTTTATCAGCTGTTTGGACTCTCATTCTGACGGCACCCATTCACTGCAGAGAATCCATTGCTGAACAAGTGATGTAATGCTACATTTCGACAAAGTGAACATAAGAGACTTCTTTCAAAAATATTTTTAAAATATTACAGACCTCAAACTTTTGAATACTCAATGTAGGTTTTACAGCTAATGGACCACCTACAAATGTTCGTTTAGTCATGTAATGTCTCATGTTTGCTCATTTCCACTTGTTTGCATGTTTACAGAGCTTCACTGAACAGGTGGAAGTGTTCCGGAACATTGCCGCCCACTATAACATGAACTTCCTGCTAGAGAACATTGACTGGGTCCTTAGTATGAACGCATAGGTGCTTTTTCACCGGATACACTCCATCATTTATGCCAAACAATGTGTCATTTGAGCCATTTGTACAGATCTGAATTCATATGAAACAGTGGAACCATTTTGGTACTGGAACTTTTTTATTTGTGTGTTAATAAATATTTTTGTATATGAAGAATCAACTTTTGCAATGATCTTCAATCACTACTTCCTAAGTAATCGAATGCAAATTATGATTTTGGTCATTTATGGTTACTAACT